CATAACCTGTGTCTTTGTCTCTGTCTCTCTATCTCTCTTTCTCTTTCTCTCTCTCTTTTTGTTTCTGCCTGTCTCTCTCTCTCTCTGTCTCCCTCTATTTCTCCCTCTCCCTCTCGTTCTCCTTCTCCTTCCACCTCTCCCTCCTTCCTCCTTATCCTTTTCCCTTTATCTTTCCCTTTCCTTCTCCCTCTGCCTCTCCCTCTCACTCTCCTAATCCCTTTCCCTAATACCAATCCCTATTCCTACTTTCCCTATTTCTATCCTTATCCCTTTCCAATCCTTCTCCTTTTCCTCCCTCTCACTCTCCCACTCTCTACCCCTAACCTCCCCACCCCCACACCTCCCCACCCGCTAACCTCCCCAGCCCCCCACCCCCAGCTCCCCACTTCCTAACCCCCCATCTTCCCGATACCCCAGGTGGACCCCCTGGAGCTGGAGGAAGTGCCCAAAGAAGTGGAGCAGAACCTGGAGGCGATGACGGAGGGCGAGGCCGTAGTTACTATGTAAGTGATGAGCAACTTATGAACTGTCGTCATGAATTAATGATGATAATGATGATGGCAATAATAGTAACAAGACATATCCCTACTGCTAATAATCGTAACAATAATAATAACAACAGTAAAACCTATGGTGATAATAATGATAATAATGGTTATCTATATTACCATGTACTATTACAGTAGTCACAGACTACTGTACTGTGACAGATATATGTAAAGCTGTAATCATGATTGCCCACGCCTGAGTAGATAGCCAGGGTGGTAAATAAACTTACTTAACTTAACTTAACTAATGATCTAGATGATAACAATAATAATAACACATTCCTATCATAAGTAATCAATACATTCCAATAACCTACACTTCATCACAGAAAAAATAACACACACGTATCCCTCTCTTTCCCTCTTGTTCTTCCTAAAGAGACTGCTCCGCTGGACAAGTTGTCGGTCGTCCTTTACATCACGCAGAAATTTGATTCCCTTGGACTCATGGTCGTAGATCACGTTTTCTCCGCTGCTGAGTATATAGTTTGGGTAAGTAGGAGGGAGAGGGAGAGAGGGAGAGGGAGAGGGAGAGGGAGAGAGAGAGAGAGAGAGAGAGAGAGAGAGAGAGAGAGAGAGAAGAGAGAGAGAAGAGAGAGAGAGAGAGAGAGAGAGTAGAGCGGGAGAAGAAAGAGAGAGAGGGGGGGGGGGTGAATAAAGAAAAAAAAAGTGGTCTCCCCTTATTCAAACTTGAACCCCCTCCCAGTACGACCAGCCGCTGCAGGGCGTGAATATCATCGGCATTTTAGCCGGCGAGACCTGGGGCACGGCTGACGACAAACCGATCATCCTCGGGGCACACATGGACACGGTGCCCGGGACTCCTGGCTTCGACGACAACGGGTCCGGCTTGGCTGCTCTTGTGGAGGCGGCCCGGGTCCTCGCCACGAGCGGCTGTTCCTTCCGCCACTCCGTCTTCTTCGTCGCCTTCGATCATGAGGAGATCGGTAACTAGAAGTTTATTATTGTGATTTTTTTTTTTTTTTTTTTTAATGAACACTCTGCTGGATAAAATTTCTCTGCTAAGATCACAGTTCTGAATCTTAACTATGGAATTATTTTCTCGCGATGGAAAGCTTCGAAGAATTGATGAATAGCAAACTATCTTTCCCTGTTTTCCATAAGGCACCCAGGGTTCTACGATGTTCGTGAAGGATTATCTCACCGGGAGTATCATGGACAAATTCGGGATCACGGAAATCACAGGCGCTTTCGTTGTAGATTGCATCGCCAACTGGGATCCAACACCAGGCAGTCAAGTAAGGCATAATAAGTGAATTTGTTAATTAGCTTTGCAGATAATTGCTTTCCTCCAGAAAAATGCCCCGCTTCTCTGATTGTTTGCTGTGTTAATCATCATTATCATTTGGGAGCTAACGCCGGTAGGGGCGCACAGCCGCGTCCACCCTGCGCTTCCACCTGCGAGGGTCTCTCATGGCGAGCCGCCAGGCAGGGGCCCGGCCCATCTCTAGTTCCTCACGACAGGTTTGGTCGATCTGCCCAAGCTACGACCTTCTCGGTCGTCCCACAGGCCTCCTCCACCCAGGGTTGTCTCGGACAGAGACAACCTGGTGGGCAGGATCATCCTGCGGGAATCGAGCCAAGTGGCCATATAACCTGAGTTGGCGATCACGGATTGTGCAAGTAACAGGTCCTGTACCGGTCTCACGGTGTAGCTGTTGGTTGGACACATGGTCCCGCCAACTGTACCCCATGATCCGGCGCAAGGATCTGTTACAAAAGGCATCGAGACGAGATTCCAAAGCACAAGATAGCGTCCAAGTTTCACTACCATATAGTAAAACTGGCAGTATCAGGGCCTTGAAAACTCGTAGCGTGGTCCTTCTGCACAGGTACCGGCATCTCCAAATACTCTTGTCGAGAGATTTCATGACCCCTGCTCTCAGGCCAATCCGTCTACTGACTTCCTGGTCTGACAGCCCAGAGTCATGAACTGCACTACTGAGGTATATAAAACTCTTTGTGACTTCGATGTTTTCACCGCAAGCACGTACCGACTGCACAGGGTCTCCTAGTAGGCCCCAAAATCCTGGATCTTGGTCTTGGTCCAGGAGACCTCTCTGTTAAATTGTGTGGAAAAGATGTATAGATGCTCAGAACCCTCTTTTTTTTATAAACACTGCAATACAAGTATTATTTTTTTAATATCAGTCTGCTCTATCTGATTATCAGTCTTGAATACCCCTACCCCCTTTAAATAATATGCCATACCGTTTCCATAGGATTTCCCGCCAACATGGGCTGCCTACCTTCCCGACAACGCGCGTAGCATCGAGAGCCACAACTACACGGGGGATTTTGCTGGAATCCTTTACCGATCCCAGGTCGATGGTCGGTTAGCTTACACGTGAGTTATCACTGTTGTTCTTTGATCATATGCTGTGCATGATCAGTGTTTTAGTATTGGCTTACCCCTTTGTGTTCATGGCGAATTTCGGCGATCAATCTTTCAGTCAAACAAGTTCTGCCCATATACATTTTTTTTTTTTTTTTTTTGCATGTCTAAGCATTTGTTTCGGGTAAAAGTTGCATTAAACTTAAACTGTGCTTCTACGACCATTTTCCTCTCACCCAACTGAACTTATCGCATTTTGTGTCGTCTAAGGTTGTCACGTTATTACAACGACCTCGGCCACGACCATTATCGTCTGGAGATGATGGGCCTGCAGGAGCTGGGCGCTGAAATGCCCAACGCGACGATTCTCAAAAACCACTTCGACTTCATACGCTCCGACCACGTCCGCTTCTGGTACCTGAACGACACAAACGACTCGCCGTCCATGCCTGCCGTGCTTATTACCGACATGGGTGAGTCACGCACAAGCTTGGTTATTTGATAGTAATTCATGTCATAACAACTGATTTTGGTTGTTTGCACTTTTTATAAATCCTTATGAATTGTATACCTAGTGTTCAGATTCAATAATAACTTTTCATGGTGATGCCAGGAGAACGCCAGATTCCTACATTTCTTCCTTTTGCACTTCAGGTCCTTATCGCGGACGCATGAGACAGTGTTACCATCTTGCGTGTGATGACGCAGAGACAGGCTTCAGTAACGTGGGTCTCGTTACGAAGGTCACACAAGCATTGGTCTGGACTATCGCCGACCTTGCTATCGGGAGATGCGGTCCTCGCGGAAGACTGTCTGTGCCCACGCTTTTCGCACTCATGGGCAGCACACCCAGGCAGGATTTGGGTAAGTTTGGGTGAAATCTTATTAATGATTCATGTTTGCGCCTACCATCCATTCCAGACACCCGTCAGTACCATTTGGTAATTATTAAATTTATCATTTTTTCCATTAGATATTCCATCATCGCTTTCGCTATCATCACACAATACTAAAATCAACAGTATTAGACAGATGTATCTCACTCCAAGATAAATAATCCTTTTATTTCTCCCAAAAGTCATCCATTCCAACGCCTCCACATAATTGAGCGAGATTTTAACATAGCTTATCACCTTTCAGACCAGAAAATGCCCATCGCCTCCATCCAGGACGCCATGGAGATTCTGCACTTCCTAGGTCTCCTCCCACCAGTGGATACACAGCCCACGTGATAACAACCGCGTTCTGCTTTGCCCCACTTCCCACTGGCTACTTGTTTGTATATATAATTGTCCAGTATACTATTTTTTAAAACTCGATCAGGGAATTTAAAAGGTTGCAAGAGTGAGAAAGCGTCCAGGTGCAAGTTACTGCCTTGTGTAGAGTAAGGTATATACAATTATTTATAGTAAATATATGAGCGTACTGCTTAGATATTTAAGTATACAGATCTAAGTTTCACAACGACACTGACCTTGGCACTTAATTAGAATATATTCAAACGAATTCTGACTAAGTTACCAGACCTTGTATCTTAATAATAGTTAAATGAAAGATCACTGTATTAACCATGGTAACTACTTACATGGATGACAAGGTTCATTTGAAAATTAATCGTGTAACTGAAGTCCAGTCTAAAAACATAAAAAGTTAGCTGCATTCCAACATAATTCATGAAACTATTACTTTTCCCTCAGTGCATGTAATGCCTGTGTAATATATGGCTAGTGAAGTTATATTAATAGGAAATAAGGATCTGCAGCAGATGAACTCTTGTTCTGAACATTCACAATGCAAACCTTTCCTTTCATGTTCCAAAGAGGATTTTTACAATTGTTATTATAGGATATACCTGCTGGACAGGATTTTAGAATTATGAATACATATATTGTGTGTATGTTTACATAAATACTATTCATACAATCAAGCACTGCACACCACCCATACCAATGCACAAAGTTTTCTGACTGTAAATGGTGAGAAAAGTATATAAAAATAGTAACTTAACATGAGCATAATTCAGTGTATAGCTTTTTATTAATTTTCATTGTGAATACACAGCATTTATCACGTACACAATTTTTTTTTTTTTAAGTTGAGCAATCCACTCATTTTGTGAATTTATTCTTGCATACTTTCCTCATCAAACAGGCAGAAAAGGAAAAAAAAAAGTGAAGTGGCACGAATGAGAGAATATGATTCCATAATGCAAGATGTGATGTTTTAATACAACATTTCACAAGTATTTTACATATTTCTAATGAAGTTATATAGCAGAATTAATAATATATGCAATGTGGAATTAATCCTTTTCAGTCATACTCTTTCTACATTTGCTTTAAGATTCATAAAATTTCAAAAAATTCACTGATGTTAAAAGCATGGAGCAGAAAGAGTACAAATGATTAAATGAAACACACACAAATTATGTTACTTTATTACATGATGTTTTACAATAAATAGTCAATCAATACAATTTTCTGTGTTTTCCATGTAGAACTTTTATTTGATTACAGCACCAGATCACATCCTAAAAAAATTGCAGCAGACAATCTTTGACACTGAAGAGATATCTTTGACACTGAGGAGATGAACAGTGTAAAAATGGCAACACAGATATTCAGAAGTTACCATATCTCCTGAGAATTTACAGTCACCTACCATTCTTAATGTAGTCATTCTGGTCTCACGATGTAATACAAATGACCATCAGTAGTTTTAACAAGGGTTTGGAGTATTTCTTACAAAGTCTTTTTTGGATATGATCCCTATCTGAAGTTTACCTCACTGGTTTACATTGGCATCATCAAAAACTACCAGTCTGAAGGTTTGTGTTTTGGTTTGCCTGTGGCATACCTGATGTAATTTGTTCCAACTTTTGTGATTATTGCTTCAATTTTCAGCTTTTGAGCAGAAAGTGGTAAATTTCAATTGCAAGCAGCAAGTTCTGGTTAACTGCAATATCAAGACCACATATAAAGCACTAGTCAAATTAATATTACATATCACACTATGTATTACCTCTTTAAAATCCCTAATTTAGCAGGAACCTAAAGGTGGCACCAAAGACAAGTCTAGCTAGTCTACAGGCCATGGTGAAGACTACATGCATCAAGATGAGGCACTGGTGCTTTGCTATGGCTTATGGAAAAAATGCCAGTGACATGCAAATTATATCTGTTTAATGTCTCATACTTCTTAATATATATGTATATTTTTTCTCTCACAAAGTACTTTACTTCTCTGAATGAAGGAATCATGAAAAGCCATAGTGTGCCTAGCACCTTAGACCTTAGCCATCTGCATCTTAGAGGTGTTTACTTTTACAAATGTATTATCATCACATTTATACATGTCCATGTAATAATGACACTAGACATATGACACACCTCCTTAACTGCTTCACTGTAAACATACATAAGTACTGGTGGTTATATGGTGTACAGTATATCAAAGAAACTTTCCAATCTAACATGAAGTTGAGGTACATTTTGCACTCTCTGTCGCAATGACTGGAAACATCTTAGACATCCATATTGTACAATGTGTTAAATACTTTATAAACAGAAAGGCTATCCAGTCAAGTCTTGTAAATGAAAACACATCATGAAATTCTTGGATATCATAACACACTGTAGCTGAAGTACCTAACCCGTACTTGAATGTATTTCTTGACAATCTTAGAGATTAATCAATATTCAAATACTGCATTCTGATATCAATTCTTTAGTTACAACTAATCACCAATTAGTGAGAAAAAAGTAATTACATCTGTGATAACATGGAAATAAAGTGACATTTACCAATTTTATGGAAATTAAACGAGAGAAAGACACAGTTTGGTGAGAGTAACCAAATGGCTTTATGGCAAGAGTAGGCTTATCTAACAGTTTCACGTCGGCAGTTAGTACCTTACTTAGTAAACACTACAAAAATAATAGCTACTTTGCTTTTTTATTCTTGCTTTTTTTTTTCATGCTATCTATTACCTTGCTAGATACATTTTTTTTTTTTCTAGAATAGCTACCAACTTCTTTGATATCTCTGAGAGAATTACCGACTACTTCTGGAAGTTACATAACTAAATATATAGATACTTGTACAAGCATCTAGTTATTATTTTGGCAAAGGTTAGATACTAGCTTATCTTGGTTTTACGTAGGAAGGTGCACCAGAATATGAAAAAGGGGATAAAAACCCGAAATACATCCTCTACTAAAATAGCACCTATATCTCCCAAGAATGAAAAGAGAGAGAGAGAGAGAAAAAAAATTATAAGAATATGAACCGATAAATATGAAGAATCACCTTACTTTTCAATCAAGTATTTGTGTGGGACATAAATTGTCTATTTCCTTTCATCCTCCTTCTTCAACTGACAGGAATAAGAAGGGAAGAATTAAAGAAAATGACATAACCCTTTTACTTTGTCTTTCCTCTTTCTTCCAAATTTCCCATTCATCAAGGATTATTTGGACTTTCCATCAAATTTTCCATCAAAAAGCACCACTCCTGTGATTCTAATGGAAAACATCTATAATATCCATAGTCTTATGGTAACCAAGGTTTTCTGTAACACTTGAATGAAATAGCTTGTTAGACTCATCTAGCCTACTATAAATGATAACTGCAACAAACAATCAAATCCTTGGTAAAGATTATGAAATAAAGTTTTTCAATGTTGTTCTTGCTTTCGGTAACTTTTCAGTCCACTAAAATTATAAAAATGTTTCCAGGGCTAGTAAATGAAAAGGACACACCTCATGAATTCACTAAAAATAATGTGATGGTCTATATCTGAGGATGTCTAATACTACACTGATAAAACACATAATTCCTCTAACCCTATTAGTACAGGAACCGTTAAAGCAGGATTACTCTAAACACGTACACAAGCATGGTGACACTCCTTTGCAACAACGTGCTTACGAGTGGTGGCTCACCTCCTTGTGATCCTTAATACTAGAACTTTGGCCAAGCTATTATTTATGTCTTCTGATCATATGATCACCATATTATGTAAATTTTAGAACTAAAAACTGAAAATTATTTCCTGTAAACATAAAACAAAAAAACTGGAATAAACTATAACAGAATTATTAATCTACAGGCATACGATTTATCAACTAAGTCTCCACTTTGAGAATATAAGAGATTTGGCTTCTTTGTGACCAAAATCACACATGAAAAGAATACATTTTTTTTCTAAATCCTCTATCATAAATCTCCAAGTATATTGTAATTTTGGTCACAATATAAAATAAGATACATTTCATGAAAAAAGTTCATACATATAAATGACAGAGTCCCTAAAGCTTACCTTACATGCTTAACTTTATAAGCAGATCCTAGGTGGAATGCATGGCCATGATGAAAGATATCACACATGACACAGAAATAAAGTATAGACAACCAGGAAAGGAAAGGAAAGAAGGAAAGCAGGAAGGAAGGAAGGAAGGAAGGAAGGAAGGAAGGAAGGAAGGAAGGAAAGAAGGAAGTGAAAAAAGGAAAAAAAAAAAAGAAAAGAAAAGAAAAGGAAAAAATGAAGAAAAAAAGAAAGAAAAAAAAGGAAAAAGAAAAAAGAAAAAAGAAAAAAAGGAAAGACAAAGAGAGAGAGAGAGAGAGAGAGAGAGAGAGAGAGAGAGAGAGAGAGAGAGAGAGAGAGAGAGAGAGAGAGAGAGAGAGAGAGGAGAGAGAGGAGAGAGAGGAGAGGAGAGGGAGAGGGAGAGGGAGAGGGAGAGGGAGAGGGAGAGGGAGAGGGAGAGAAGAAAAGAAAAGAAAAAATCTGCTCCATTACTCTATACCAAAACTGACATGTCATCTTATTCCTGGATCTATATATGTAAGTCTTGGAAAATAAATATTCAGTAATGGTTTCTCATAATGTAAAAAAAAGAAGATAATTATGCTATTAATCTTATAAGATGTGACAGTACATACATCAAAATTCTGCTTATCAAATTCAATCATTCTTTCCTTTTTTCAATACATGTTTTACATTTGCACTAATGTCAAAAGAAAACATGCTGGCCTTCTAGGAGTTTCTCAAATGCTTACAAGTATTTTAATGTCAATCCTACACTTATGAAGTCTATCCCTTTTAAAGAACACTGATTACATATTTGGCACATTCATAAGACATCAATTAATGTTGCTTTTCAAACACTTTCAAAAACATATTTTATGACTTTCTTTCAATCTTTAAAGTCATAAAAAAATTCTACCTATATCTATATTTGCATCCATCCGATGCACAGAAACCTAAATTTTTGAAAAAGAAATGGATATACAACTACAAATTGGCCTCATAAGATTCTTTTGCCACTTGCAACAACATGAAGCATAAACTAGTTATCACCAAATAAAAACATTGTTCCTCTTTGAACAAACTACATTCAACAGTGAAGAAATAATAAACAAAACCATCTTCTCTTCACACCCATAACAACGCTCATCACCAACAATGGAATAACACACAAACCTACTTCTCTGCTCTTTTGCAGAGGAGAGCAAACTTAGCACCACATAGCACCTTTCTCCATTTTACGTCCAAGAACAAGCTACAACATACTGCTTCTCTCAATTCTTCAAGTTATTCAAAAGCATAAAATAAATCATACAAATACATGGATTCTCCTTCTACTCAATATCTACTACCTATAAAAGGCATATTAAGAAATATCTTCTAAATCATACATTTAATCAAATATTAATAAGGACATCTAAATGTTTTGATTTTTTTAAATACATACTTTTGTATTTTCCTTCAAAAGCTTCTTTCCTTGAAATTGCTTTAATACTTTGATAAACAAGCCTATTAAGCCAATACTGTATAATAAATTACAGAAATTTTATTCTCCTAAACATTAAAGGCAAACAATATCTACTTGCTCCCATTCTACAAAATAGTTTCACATATTCAGACTACAAAATCAACTGTTGACATATATATATATGGAACATAAAATAATAACATCAAATCAATATGCAAATGAAATATCACTCCTGCTGAAATCAAGATTCCCAACCCGAGTCAGAATCAGGAGGGCCCCAGTCCCAGTTCTCCGAAGGGTTCACAATCCCTTCCCCCAACGAAGGCAATTCCTCGGGGCTCGACCAGTCTCCACCTTCCCAGTCCTCTTCATCTTCCCCTTCTACTTCCTCCTCCTGCTGCTCAAGGTTCTCTATGGTTTCAGCACTTGAGGAATCTGAATCTTCAAACAGCTGGACTTTGCCTTGCCATCTTGTTCCCTCACCTTCTACCTCAAAGCACTCTTCTTCCACAGCAAGCCTAAAAAGAATACTTAGATACTGATAAGCCTATCTTAAATATATCAAACATACTGAAAGAAATTCTCCACCAGAGATGTTTTACCCAAATCTGTTTTGAAAGTAAGAATTTTTGGAAAAGCGTATCGCACAAAAATCACATATCCTGCATATAACCATAGAACAGTTTCATGCTAGATTTACTTTAATTTAAGAAATTTACTCACCCAGGAGGAAGGAAGAAGCAAGGGTCTTAAATAATACTCACACACACATGAGTCCTGAATATAGGGCTTAAATCTTACCTTATAATAGATGTCTCTATTGTGTGGTCATGGCCTAG